AACGGATTAAGTTCGTAACTAGAGGTACCACTGTAGTTTATTTTACTACTATAGTGTGGGAATAATTCTATAGTCATATTCTATATCCATCTGCCCTTTATCATCCATATTAAAAAGATACTTGCCTCCAACAGGACCTTTTCTTTCTCATTTTTGATTTGCTGTTCCATTTCTTCATACAGTTGCTGGATTTCATCATCATAGGCAGAAATTTTGCTAATAAGGAATTTTAAAAAGTACGACAAATTACACCTTGGTTGCAGCACTAGCAAAAGCTTAGAGATACTAGAAGCCACCTATTCTTCCTTTTGAGAAAAAGTCCAGTGCGGACAGGCTGGCAAATCTATCAGATAGATTAACGGCTGCTTTGCAAGTCATCTTCAAAGAATGCTCAGCCAACAGTTCAGCATCGAACTGGAAAAGGCTATCTAGTAGAGTGCCACAAAGTCTTCTTTGTAATTTTGGGCAGGTGATCCCAGTAGGTGGCTTCTTCACAATATGGGGGCTCCACTGAGTTTGAAGGATCACAGGGTTAAGGAGAGCTTTAATTCCCCTTAAAATGCAGAACTCCAGCATTATGTGATCCCTCCCCACACCCCATGTTCCTCTCTCTTCCACTTCCTCAGTTAAATCTCCCTTTTTGACTCAAGGAGAAGTAATGCGCTCGGGCCTTCCTCCACCATCTTGAGGAGAAAGTTCTCAACAAAGCTTGTCAGGAATTTGCCGGAAGAAAACTTTGCAGAATTATCTCCCAACAGATGTAAAGCAATTAAAGTTTTCCCCACTATAATTTTATCCCTCTTTGAAAGATCTGCAAATTGCTTTTGGAAAAGATCCACATCAAAAAATCCACATCTTCTCCTTGAGATGTCCTGTACCTCACTGCCATCACTTGGACTTCTGGGCAGGAGTTACAGAGGGCAACTCTGCTCTCTTTCATTGCTCTTTTATTGCTTCTGTTCCCTACATCTGTTGCAAATATACGACTGGTTGTTTGGAGGCAGGAAGACAAACATGCCAGAAGCTTTGCAGGTCACCAATGCCAACTCCAGGTCATTCCTCTTCAGTTTTGCTTCTTAGGACACCACCAGTAGAAAGGTTTATGTCTTCTTGTTCCTTTCTTGGCCAAGTACAAATTCTTCATGCCTTTGCCCACTTACACCCAACAAAGTGATACAAAAACAGTTCGGTATCATCTTTTCCCTGCCATTTCCCCTCATTCCCAGCCCATGAGTGAGACAAGCTTGTATCTTTCTTAGTTTATTTCATTTATGCAATTTATCATCTCATTCCTCACAGCCTCTAAGTGGCTGGTACTGGTAGCATTTCTCTGTTATTTCAACATTGTCCAAGGGCAGTCCAAGGGATCTAATTTGTTACCCATTACCTTGGAGGAGACTGCAGGGACTTGAAACAGAGGCAGTGGAGGCAGGATACAGATCAGCAATGGGGATTGCAAACGTCATGCTAGTATAGTTTTGTGCCAATTCAGGAATGGGTAGAGAGTGCCCTAAGGGAGCCATGGGCATAGCCTCTGGTTATTCAGCAGGAAGCAGTTGCTCAATCCACCTGCAGTCCTCAGGATACCCCTATTCTCCAAATCACTCAGTCCCTGAGAACAAATCCTCATCCAATTTCATTGGCAGCTTTTGGAAGAAGGCACGTAGGCTGGGGGAGGAAGAAGAGGCAAGAAGGGCAAATGGGGCGAGGACACCCAGAGAGCTTGCGGTGGGTGGCAAAGGCAGGCTGAACAAATGCGACTGGCAGGAGATGAAGTGGTGAGGAGTGCCACAGGTGGCTGAATTCGTGGTGGGCACACGGGAAGGAGAATTTGAAACCATGCAGGTAGGCAGTGGCAGAGCCAGAAGCTGAGTCTGAGTAGGTGGTTCCAGCAAGGGGTGGGGCTGTAGGAGAGCATCTTTTTCAATGCACCTCTTGCCAATGAATGAACTCCGTCTTTGGTGTAGTTTTGTCCAAACAAGAGGAACTCTGACAGCTTTGCTTCAGTGCTGCCATCCATGCCATTCCTGGAATGGGGAGTTCATTCTGAAGCAATCTGCAATTTGCTCTCATATAAATTCATGATGAACTTACTTACATCCCTGTTGGGGATTGTACGGACAGTTAATGGAATGGACGTTATACTTGCAGGGCAAAAAAACCTCACATAGATCCAATCAAGCCTGCTGCTGTAGCTTTAAACATACATTACCCATTCCTGGAGAACTCTCTGCCCAAACAGAATTGCTATGAAAGAAATATAACATGATCCCCTAGGAAGCTATCATAAAAGAAGCATTTACTTCATCAGGGCATACTCCAAGGTGTTCTTTTCATCATCAGCTTCTTGGAGCTGAGAAAAGATTTTTGTCAAGAATTCTTCAAAATTGCAAAGTAGGTGAGGCTCCTGTTTCCTCAAATGCAGCCAGAGTTTCTTTATATCATTTTCACTGGGGAAAGGAAAAAAAGAGATGCATGTTAGGAGCTAAATTTTGGGAGTTTCAGCAGCAAATGTAATTTTAGCACTCTTGTATCATAAAGTAAGAATCATGGGGATAGATGGAAGAATCAGTGACTTTTACTTTTTCTTCAGTTCTAATTTTATTTATTTATTCAACTTACATGGTCACCTATCTCAAATGTATGACTCTGGGCAGCTAACAGAGAATAAAAACTACATAAATAACAAATATGGGAGATAAAACCAACCAACACTGTCAATATAACCAAGATATGGACTTAGCCACACAACCCTGGCTCCAGGCTCATCAACAAAACCAGGTTTTTAAGGCCTTACAGAAACCCAGTAGGGTTGGGGCAAGTCTAATCTCTGGAGAATGACCTTCCAGAGGGTAGCACCACAAGGTTCTCCTCTGGGGCCAGCCAGATGGCACTCCCTAGTGGTTGGGCCCCAGAGCATGCCTCTCCTGTTGGATCTCACAGGATGGGTAGATACAATTGGGGAGAGTTAGTCCCACAAGTAACATGGCTCATGCCATGAAGGCCTTTACAGGTCACTACTAGGACCTTAAACTGAGCCCAGAAGCATACTGGCAATGTCCTTTTGATTCCATTTATGAAGAAATGTAGATTTGGGTATGTTTTTATTTTAAGAAATAAGTTGCACAACTTTTTCATCCATCTCTAAATTTTACTACAGAAGATACAAAGCCACTTGTACATGACTATCTTCTGCAGAAATGTTAACGGTCATATATATGTTTACAGTTTCTGTTCTTGCTGGTAAGGGCTCCTTTGTATTACTAATCTTAAAATTCATAACAAAAGTGAAAATGCTCATTTATACTATTCTTTCTCCCAAAGGAGCACAGAGTGCAGAACAAAAGCAATACAGTGGTACCTCTAGTTACAAATGCCCCTCCTTACGAATTTTTCAAGATACGACTAGCTCCGGCCCCCAAAATTTACCTCTACTTGCGAACTCCGCCTCTACTTACGAACTGGATCCACGGCCATTTTCCCTGCTGCCACGCGATCGCGGCTTCCTGTGGGCGAGATCGCGGTAGCAAGGAGACGTTCGTTGAGGCTTG